TCTAGTCGTCATTTTGAAATATTATTTGCTCTGAAAAATTGTAATATCTTGACAGTTTTGTCATAAATAACTCGCGATGTAGAAATCTAATTTCTTAGTCTTTTCTAAGTAATTAAAGATGATTAATTGTGTAAGCTATGCTCAAATCTCCATGACTTTATCCCTTTAGATCTAAAATTTTTCATAGGCAAAGACAAAGCGCTTTGCTAGCCATATTTATTACCCCATTTAAACATAAAAACGATAAATAGCAAACTTCTTGGTTTTGCTATTTTGGCAGTAACTGAGGTGGTTTATCCGCTTCAACTTGAATTTCTGATTTGGTATTTGCCTTATCTACGATGCCAATGCGTAAACTTGTTGATAGCTGGATCCTCGTTTGAATATTTAATAGTCTCACCATTCAAAGCTGCTGGCGATGAGTAGTAATTTGACAGATATTTAGGCTTTTGAGAACTTGCCAACATCATAGATGGACTTGTTACTCCTATGGTTTTTTACTAGATTTTCTGCTTCGAAAGACCATTTGTATTTCCCGCCAGCCGCAATATTTCGAAAGGATTTTCACGTCAAAAGTTACATAAAGGCAGTGAATTACACGACAGGCTGGCCACCTTTTTCATTCCAAGCGATAGCTGACATGTGTCGTTTGACTCAGTCACCACCTCTCATTCTCTCTCTATCTCTCGTTTCGTTCTTCCTTCCGCTTGTGCCACATTTTCGTTCCCTTTGACGGTTTTTTCAGGTCTTTCTTATGCTCTTTCACAAACTATCACAAAGAAACAGAATCACATTTAGCATCACTTTTTAGATCTTCAGAACATAAAAAATTGCTAGATTCTGTATCATAACTCATTCCAAAAAACTACGTTTGTGATGGTTTCCTTTCACTTCACAGTATGACTACCGTATCCATTGATAGATCAAGGGCATTCATTATTGAAGTCCTATTATAGCTATTGCCCCTTAATCCATAGTGCTTTTGCTAAGCGGACAACTGTTTGCAATCATTGTGATTGAAACCCAAATTCAGTTTCACAATAGTTTTGAATGGCAAAAAGCGAGACACTGCGGATGAGTTTGACGGGTAACTGAGCTTTGGGCCCTGCTCATAGCCTACGTTAAAAAATTTACATTACTCTTTCGACACATCTGATGCCACCAAATGTTTACTTCTAGTTACTTTTACCTCTTACTTATGTATGGATTAGCAAAAAGATGGTCAAACCTATGTAAGACGTATGCCAAGGATTCAGGAATTTTGTGCAGTGTATACTATATCCGGAATCAGTCAGTAGTAAAAGAATATCATATAATACTTTGAAAACAAAAAGTGAAGAAAGTATTACAGTTAAGACTATTTATGTTATTTATGGCTCAATATGCGTATTGCACAACACGCGCGGTAACTCACGACTTCTAGGGTTAAAAGTTGCCAATTTCTCGGACTCATTTTCTTCCTTTTTTCCATTTTAGATGAGTAGTAGGTATTAGGATACTTTTTAAAATTCCTCCACTAGGGCAGATTTACCAAATTATATGTGAGGAGTCGTGGGTTGCTGCGCGTACTGTGCAAACTCATAGATTAAGTTACAAATGGCGATGCTTTTTGCTACCCAAGTAAAGTAAAACTCTATATGCCTTTATTTTCGATATATCTCATTGGGAACTTGTACTTTGAAAAAAAGGAGTTACAAAAATCATCCGAATGTTCCACAATCATAGCCGCAGCTTACGCAATCAAGCATGGAATTATTAAGCACAAGGCAGCGTTTATGCTGTTATCGGGGCCGGTGCGCGGCGGTTGGCGTTAATTTACGTTCTGTATGTTCATTATCCGGGATTATGGCACAGAGCACAAGGAGGGCGGTTGGTCGGGGGGGGGGGGGGCTGCTAAAGGGGCTCTCGACAGCCCGCCGGCCGAACAGTTGTGCCGCACGGCTGTCGCGTGGTTGGCCACCGAACCGTCCGGTCCGGTGAGTGTCTCGCCGCGTCCGGTGGGACTGGACGAGACCCTTTCTGACCCCCTCCCCCGACATCAACCCCTGCCCCCGTAGTGATCAATCTCCTCGTCGGGACTTCTCGATAAAGCGCTGCTCCCCTACACACTCACCTCAGAGTCACGAACACCACAACTGTTGCATCGTTACACTCTACCACGGGGGGGGGGCACCTTGCATACTTGTCGCTCGGTCTCGAATTTCATCGTCTTCCGTTATTGTTCCATCGTTTTTCTGACATCTACTTAGGTTACATCAGTTTGCCCTTTACTGTAGGATTGATCTTTGCTCTGTTACGTGGGAAATTTCGCACTTTCTTTTCCTGCTCTGTTGTAAAAATCCTCTCGCACATCCACTCGTGTATATCCTTCGATTTTGCACAAATTTTTCGAAGTCTTGCAACGAATGGCTGGACTTTCTGCATTTCTGCAGAGCTTTTGAGATTCTATGCATTTCAACTGCTTGCTCTAGAGTTTATCCACTATCTTGCATTTGCAATTATCTGTGAGTTACAATCAGATTTTTGTTTTACAAAATTCAAAATGGAAAAATCAATCTGGATAATCAATAGTTATGGATATCGAGCCAATTGGATCATACAAGTTTCTTTTTTTGCTCGCTTCATGCAGTCTAGACTTCCACTGTTTTGGACTAGCTGAACTTAGGCAAATTCTCTTTCGAACTACTTCAAAATTTTCAAATCTATTATAAAGGAACTGAAATAACTTTCTGTTCGATATTTGTTTGGTTGGAAGCTTCTGTTTTTGTGACTCTATATCGAACTTCTCATTTTTTCCTTGGCTCATTTGTCTTTTCAAAAGTGGAATGTTTCGTCAACCACCAGTCTCTTAGATAAGATTTTATGTTATTTATTTGTGGCATTGAGATTGTTATCCTTCTTAAGCAAGATCTTACGATTTTCAATGACAGGGGGCTGGTAATTAGAACTCACTAAACCTTAAAGTCGAAATCTCTTAGAGTCTACCACCTTTGAACCGGCAAAGAGTTGCCTTTTACAATCCTTGAGCGTATAGATAACAACAAACTGAATGACTTAATTGAAGTGATTAGTTGTTTTCTTAAACTTTTCGCAATTTTCTTTCTCAAAGGAGGAACTTTTTTGGAGTAATAAGGCATGTTCTGTCATGGACTTCTAACATTTTCTGTAGATTTTGACACTCGCATAATTGCAAAGATTTCTTATTTCTTCCTCAACGATCTTATATCCAAGCCTGTTGTATACACAACTCTTAGTATAGCTCAAATCGATAAAACTACGATGAGAGCAATAAAACGTTTCGTCTGGCTAAAATCCGACGTTTTTTTCAAGCCAACATATCCCATGGGAAGTGACATCTAATTGATAGATACGGTTGACCGCGCAACACATCTCACGCCTTCTATCAACGTCACACAGCCTAATGCACTGACTATTCGAAACAAAATCTGCTCGAGATTCGTTATAGAGATGTGCAAGGATTTTCGCGTTCAGCTCTGTATAAAAATTGAATAATAGCAGCGAGCAGATGTTCGGCGCAGGGGATCGCTATCCGCTGTTAATAATTAATATCCTCTCGCTAGCGTTTTGTTGCGGAACCTTCAAAAGGAGAACATGGTTAATTTGAAACAAAGGTATCATATCTCTGTCAGCTTGTTTATTCTTGATCTCAGCTTTTGGCTCTTCTGTATAGGTACAAGTTAGTTACATAGAAAATCACTTTTTTTGGAAGACTGCAATCTCACTTGACATACGGTAGGACATTTATAAAAATTTTTTTCGCTCTCGTTTTGTCAATTTCAAGCCTTCAATTTTTATACTTTTATCGACAAAAATTCTGCATTTTGTCAGCTTTTCAAAAAACATTAACCTACAAATGTTATTTGCATTCCCTCTATCGTAATTGATACCTCTAGTTTAGAAAAAGTACTCAAAAAATTTGGGCAAAAACTTCCCAAACATTCGCAACTTCTCTTTTTCTATTTTGGGCTAATGTTTGTGGATATTTGAATGCCACTTTGAATAATAGAATTTGCAGAACCTAAGTGTATCAATCCGAAATTTTTAGGTGTCTGCCTTAGGAGATATTTCATTAATTTGATCTGCTTTCACGTTACCCTATGTTTAGCAATGCAAGAATAGGTATATTCAATTATTTACTTCTATCTATACTGAGTGTTCTATAGCACCTGAGCTTTTGATAAGAAAATTTTGAAACAGTTTTAAATAACGATTACGAATTACAATTTATATGAAATCAAATATCTACTTTACATAGTCATTATTCATTATTTATATTGGTTTTTTATAAGCTCGTTTTGTAGCTAAAAATTTTCATCTCTACGTAGCTGCCTTCAATAATTTAAAAAAAACTATTACTAACATGTATTGAAAATTTCAAAATTGGCTAATAATCAACTCAAGAGCTACAATCTGATTTTTTGAAGCTAAAAAAAGAAAAAATGAACTTGAAATAATCAAGAAAATGCCAGCGCACGTGGGTCCATTTATGTAGGTCTTTCTTGAACTTTATCTTAATTTTGGGTTTTCTATAATTTTAATGGATTAGCTAAACTCAAACAAACTCCCTTTCTCCTTTTTCCTTCAATCAACTCCCTTTTCGCATAATTTCAACACTTTGGTAACAAGCAACTGAATAATTGAATGAATATCCATGGCCAAATACCTTGTTATCCTTCTCTAAGCCCTAACACGTACTACTATCAAGTAAAATGGTTCGTTAGCGATAAAATAATAGCGTTTACAGGAAAAAACAACAAATCACGGCCTATCAGCAATCGGCGTATAGGATTTCAATCGTATTGTGTCGCTAATTGCGCGGTGTGAGTTAATCGCTTGCAGATGCTCATCCACCCCCATCCAGCCCTTGCACCTCGTAATTAATCGCAGATACATGTGCTTTTCCGTAATAATCCGTCATTTTTACGTTACAACATATGATTTATTGATTTATCTCAAAAAGTGGTTTTCGTTTCAGATTAGTTAGTTATACAAGAATATTATGCAATGATTCTGGTGCTACCGTTATTGCTTTCACTCATCGCTACTGCAAAGGCCGGATTTCGGGAAACACCTGCGAATCAGTCCGTTCTACTCGGACAAGATGCTTTATTTCGATGTGTAGCTGAAAAATCACCGATGAGCTCGGAATTGTAGGCGAAACCTCCATTTCTATTTTCTTTTCGAAAAATCATTTTTTTCTGAATTTTCAGATATAGTCAATGGCGCAGCAACACTGGATCACTTCTCGGATTTCATGAAGCTGGTCAGTTGACTGGTCATCAAGGACGTTATAGCTATTTGAAGGTTTGAATTTATTGACTAAATGCTAATTTTCACAGTTATGGACCAGATGTTATCAAAAACAACAAAACTCTGTATAATTACGTACTAAAATGGTGGCGGATTTGAAAATTTCAAACTCAGAAAACGATAATTTCAAAGTAATCTTGTAGGTTGTCATTTCGTCTCGCGCCAAAAAGATTTCTATGCATAATTACTGTAAAGTTTAGGTGTCTTCAAAGAAAAAGTCCTCCATTCAATCCTAAATGAGATTTGCTGGTAATTCGTACACTTTTCCCCGAAAAGAATTCAGGTTTATTCGTAGAATTTTGCTTGAAACAAATTTTTTGGTGATTTTTTATTGTTAGAAAATACCCAAAAAGTGCGGCAAAGTCGTTGTATAGTATTAACCTGAACAATGAGACTTTCCTCCATTACCCTAAAAGCTCCTTAATTTTTTGTTTTCGTTGTTTTGTTCACTTTCTTGGTCCGTACGAAGTGTTATTAAATATAAATAAACAAATAAATCAACGGAGATTAAGGAAATGAAAGATATAAGTAGATATGGATCTATCAAGTTAGAATTTTGCTACGCTTAATTAATATAGTATTACATCTAAAAATAGTAGTTAAAAATAGTAAACATGTGAACAAATTCTAAATGAATAATAATTTTATCGAAAATCAGAGGCAGGATCGAAAGTTCTGAACAAATGGGAAAGACATTTTTTCGATACCCCCCCCCCCCTCAGCCTTACTGTTCAATTCCTATGAGGGATTCTCGCAAAACTCTTCTCCACGTTTAGTCGTCTCGAGAAGAACTGCATTTGCGCATAGAACGAGTGAATCTAGAAGATGATGGGCAATTCGAATGTCAAATGCTTCGTCCGGATGAGGGTCCAATACGAGCGGCTGCCTATCTCAATGTTATAGGTAAGATTACGCTTTGCGCTTTGCTCTGCACTAATTACGTGTCAATACACACCTTGCAGTGGCACCGATACACGTGCACTTCACCAATTATAAATCCGGGGCCGTTATCGACGTTAACGAGGAGATTTCGCTGAATGTCACTTGTGTTGTACCGAATGCAAAACCGGAAGCGTCCATTGCCTGGTTAGTGCAGTTTCAGAACAGCTACTGTATATGATACGGTAGTTATACGGTAGATCACCCAGGTATATCAATGGGAGAAGAATCGAAGAGGGTGTTCAGCGATGGAGTTCGTATAATCTTAACAAGACTGTGTCAAGCTATGCAGCATTACAGTGGAGGCCAAGGTATCAAAGATTTATTTATTTATTTATTTTTCAACACCTTTCGGAGGGGCCAACAATTCGAAAATAAACAAAATCTTTTCCCAAACTTGTTTAAAATTGAATCTGTTGTAAACATATACGTCGATTTTTGGCTCAAGAATCATCTATTATTCCTTCCTAACGCTTTGAATGATCCACCTCTTTCTGCCACCTCTTTTTTTGTACATCCTAAATTTTTTAAAAGCACTGAATTTTCCCCTTCATTCAAAATTGCAAACAATCTTCTAATTCCTATCCAAACTCAATCTGTCAAAGAATCCTCCTCTGGTTTTTGGAAATATGTTTTTGTTACAAGATAGAAAATTCTAAGCGCTATAAGTGTGTGGAGTACCGCAAAACGTTTGAAGTAAGTTCACTTTGTTTCCTAACCAATAATAACTATCCTGCAGCTAGTTTGTCTAACAATAAGTGAAGTGGGGGGGGGGGGTTTGATTTTGCTTTTTTGTCAAAAATAATTTTTCCAACATGGCGGCCTACGCACTAACGTTCTGATGTCCTGATACTCATAACGCATTTATGTAGGCCAAAAACAAACTTATTTTCCACTCTTTCCACTCAGAAATTATTCTACGGTGGTTATTGGAACTGTACATCGAATAAAGCCTCTAAAGAACAATAAATTTTTGAAGTGGATTTTTTATCATCTTATGTGCTGGCGCTGCGTCCAGAGTAGCCCGTGCTAGCGTCGTGACAGCACCCACGTGAACGCTCCCGTATTGATCAGTTCATATTCGGCGCTAGTACGAAGCTGGCACATAGACAATTCTGAATACAGCCTGAGTGGTCATGTTAGTCTATGAACTGCCAAGCATTCTCTAACATAAATATTACGATATGCATTTTAAATGTTCAGTTATGCTTTGTTTTTTAGACGAAGCGACTACAGAAAGGTGTTAACGTGCGAAGCAAACCATCCAGAGAGTCATTCCCAAATTCGCACCAATCTCACGCTCAACGTACTCTGTAAGTCATTTCGTTCGCAATTCGCAACATTCAGCTATTCATGACCTCATCGTCGTTCGCGACGTTCCGCTTTTTCTCTCTGTGTTGCTCTCGTAAATAGTCTCATCTCCGGCTGTTATTTTCAAGTATGTGCCCCATTGGCGCTTGGCTCAATGCATTCATTGCCGCGAGAGAGATGTTTCCTTTCCGCTTTTGCGCGGATATCGAGCCTCATTGGTTTTCGTATGCAGATTTGGGCCATTCATCACTGGATCTTAGCTTTGGCGACGCCGCTCCGTGATATAGGGTCGAGCTCGGGCACAACTGGCCGCCGTGCCTGGCCAGATGGCCGTACCTGCGCACTTTACGGCCCCGCTGGGAATACTCGCGCCACGGTGGCTGTGCGATTATGGACTGTGAAGTCGTTAATGTTTATTGTGAGGGGAAGCAAGAAAAAACTTGATGGTTTGCAAGCTATGAAAAATTTGACGGTTTTCGGAATTTAAAAATAACTGGATCGGCAAGGTTTCGCTGTCTTAAGGGTTTTTTCTTCAGTCAGAATGAGAAAATTTTTTTAGTGTTTTTGATAGATTGCAATTCTCATTCAGCATATTCGAAGCACGCATATTTCTTTTGCAGAAACGTAAAGATATTTTTAAAAACCCCTTTTATCTCCACTGATGAAGGAGTGTAACGTATCTAAATTCATCAATTCGGATCCCAGCTTAATCATCAAAATGATATAAAATGGTATACTATACAGGATGGAAAAACAGAAATGGAGAAGAATTTCTTGTTAAGCTTTTTACTTCAATAGCCTTCAAGAAAAATTATTCTGTTCTTTATTTCAAACTATAAATTACACTATGCAACACAAAACCCCCATTTTTTCCTCCTCCCATTCCTGCGTTTCTCAATGCTTTGAGATGACACTCGAAGTAATCTAAAAACTTTGATGAGAAAGCAATAAATCAATCAAATCGTTAAAAAAATCAAGGGGGGATTTTTTTGAAAATTTTCCGGAAAAAGCATACAATTTATAGCCGACAGTTAGAGTCATGTTTTATTCGAAGCATTTTTTTAAACACTTTTCCTAAGATTGAATCTTTTCGAAATGATCTTTTCTTATCTTAGAGTTTCAAATCCTTGCAGTTGGATGGCTTTCTAAGTCTTTATAGTTAAAATAATTAAATGATACACAGTATTAGAGGTCTAGATTCACAGTATTTCTATTTTTGGAAGCAGGGCGATCAATTATTCAATTACTCTAGCTATGACTAACCTAAATTTCTTCAACGCATTTCACAGCTTGCAGCTGTGAAATCAGATGGCCGATCGGAGTTGAACAAAAAGCATACAAAACAATGACTTCGCGCATGGGAAGAATTTGAAAAGGCAGCTGATGGAATTTGTTGATTGCTCGAGAACGATCTCATTAGGAGAAAACAAGGGGACCTGAAGGAAAGCGCAGGGGTTTGAGGAAAAATTTAGGCGAAGACTTTTTATCTGTAATCTTGCTATGGCTGGTGGAAGTTTTGATGAACAACCGCAAGTATGGGTCACACATGTCCAAGATTGGATAGATACGACACACTGCTTTCATAATCTGCAAAATAACGGGATTTTGGGTTTGCGACGGAAAAATCGGTCTTTTATAGTCGCATCATTGGACGTCTCTCAGAGTGGCTATATGTCGAATAGAAAAAAGTATCCTTATTCTGCTACCAAAATAAACTATTGCTTTGAGGAAGGAGGGAAGGGGGTACGGTATGCAGGCGGTAGTGATACAATATGTTTGGGATGGGAGGTCATTTCCATATCGGCACGCATGTATGCTTGTTTGAAACCACTTTTTACCCATTTTATTACTCGTACAAAATAACTCTTTTCAGATCCACCTGATCAGCCAAAAGTTTCGATGGTCGGTGATTCGTACGTTCGTGCCGGCGATAACGTAACTCTGGCATGTGTGGTCACAGGAGGCAATCCACCGCCAGAAGTTTCGTGGTACTTGAAGGATCGTCTGCTGAGTGCTCGATATCAATACGATCTTCAAACACAGGTAGGGGTACCCGAGGGGACATGTGGCCCAGAAATCTGGCAATACTGCCAGAGCGGTAGCTCTCGTTACACTCTCACACCAGGTTGCCACCTGTGATGCCAATCACTTGGGTTGTTTTGAGCGTCATTATTGTTTCGGGGGGTCACGCAGCCAGCAGAAGTTCGCACTATTCGCACCATTTGTCACACCTCTATGATGTCGGGACCCAGGCGCGAGAATGAGATTAGATTGGGGAAAGGCTTTTTTCAACCGCTTGCTTTGATTGGTCACCATTGGCTGCGATTGGTTAGGCTATAAGTGAGGCGGAGCAGGGCGAAAACCGGACGAGTTCTGGCGCAACATGCTCGTGTTTCATATGTCTGACATGTTTAACACGACGATATGTGTACGGATTCATTACACGCTACAAGCCGTGATACCGTTGTCTATATGAGACAACTCATCCATTTTTCTTGCGGAGCCGCACGCGGCAAAAGGAACATCGCGCGCAAAAGACCCAAAGGGGCCTACATCTAGATTAGAGTGGTTCGTATTTTTATCGCCCGACAAAAGGCTGGCTCATATCTAGGTGAAGTGTCTCAAGTGGATCGCACCCGTAAGAGAACACGCAGATGTTAGCGCCTTGCCAGCGCGGCTTTGAGTGTTCGCGCCACTCTTCGGCCAATTTTCTCCCGAATTTATTGCTGTTCATTTGCGATGTCGAGGCGTGAAGGCGCTGCGATTTCCTCAGAACACGTCCGACCGCTGCGCAAAAATATTTCGGCGCTTATTTGTCAAGCAGCGAGTGAATGCCCTCGGCCGAGCAACTGGCAATGGGTCGAAGCAAAGATCCCTCGGGGATGTCGAATACCACCCAGGATGAGATGCAAAAGTACTCGCCGACAGGGACTTTTGTTTGAGTCAGCCGAGTGTTTCTGAAATGCTTTCGAAATCGCTCAAGCACTGGATACGAAATTTGACAGCAAAACCGCAATGTCATAATCGCGAATGGTTCATCTGTCCGGATTAGAGCATGTCCGTGTTATCCAACAATGCGCAAACATAAGGTCATTACCATATGAAGATGTTAGATACTATCTCATAGCATGTCGGCGATTCACAGCTGATTCAGTACAACGATTCAGCTGTTCGGATAGCAAGCAAAATTCTAGAACAAAGAAACTGGAGGGGATGAGGTTCGGGAACTACTTAAGCAAAAAAAAAAACATTTTCTCCCATGAATGCAAGCTTGGTGAGATGTATATGTCCTTATTAGAAACGATTAGATGAGACAGAGATGTTTTGAATACCAAGTAAAGCTCGGAATATGGAGATTTTTCTGGCGACCTGAAAATCTTAAACGCTTTTGAATCGTTTGTTGTCAGAGCCACTTTCTGGACCATACCTTGACGGAAGGCAAATATGTCCGGTTTTAGCTACATAGTTCGCAGTACACTGCAAACTGCCAAGATTACTGCTAATTCGATCCCAAGTTTGCTTGACGGTCCGATTTTTTTTCGGCCGAAGGGGGGGGGGGGGAGGAGGGGAGGGAAAGCAAGAAAATTCCTTTCATAATGGAGGAATGTGACGTTAGTAAGGTTTTCCAAAGAATGCATTGGGATGCGCACCAAATTTTTTTGCGGATTCATAACCATGTAAAAGAGGAAAAAGAGCATCAAAAAGTTTTTTTACGATGCTGATTTCAAGATCAAAAAATTGCAAAAAAAATTCCAGTTATCTGCGCGTCAAAGTACTTTATTTGCTCATTTTTTTAACACACGTATGTATTTTCAACCTCTTCTCGTGGAAGCCTGATTGGCAATTAAAATTTAAAAAAACATATCACAAATTGAACAGCATTCTTTCGTAAATGAACAGTACTTTAATAAACCATGCTCTTTTCAGGAAAGCAGAAATACGTATTCGTTCTTGGCAGAACCGGAGGACAATTTGGCAAACTACGAATGCAGAGCATCAAACAGAAAAGGCCAGGAGCCCAAAACCACAACAATCCACGTCAAAGTTGCCTGTAAGAAAATGCCTCTTCATTTAACATCTTTGTTTTACTCTATATTTCCTTTCAGATGCTCCACAAGGAGTGGAAGTGATGGGTGAAAGTAACATACGTCAGGGCAGTGTCACAATGGTCCAGTGCAGAACTAAGTGAGCATTTTTCTTATTCTAAAATTAGATTTATCACTACAGCTGCGCGCACAGCTCCTTAACGGCCTCGGGACTGCTGGCCTCGACTCGCAAGCGAGCAGGCGTTAATTGCCTAATTGACGGGATGCATTTAGTTGCATCACAAACAATAGTCGATGGTTGGATTTGTCCAACTGCCAAGTTATTCGTCGATTTAATTGATAGAGCTCTTGAGCAGATTAGCGTGACAACGAAAACGCAGTGATTGAGTGGTGGTCCCGGCACCGGATGAGGTCACACCGAATCATCTCAAGGGAAGAATAAGTTTTGATTTCAGGCCATCAAATCCAGCAGCGAGAATCTCATGGCTTGTCAATGGACATCCTGTGCCAGCAAGTCCACAGAGCGAACATCAACAGGTTAATTTTGCAAGGAGTTTTTGGTCGCCGAAATTCGTCTCATTTTTGGAAATTCGTAAATTCCGTTCACTCAACAAACTTGCTCAATCTCAATTTTTGCAGTAAGCAGAATTCTTGCTCTTTGCAATGGGTTTTCGATAACTTCCCAACGAAAGCAAATTGCAGAGATAAAAAAGAAGAAATTTGGGCTTTAGCATTACATTAATATTCCGAAAAGTCCGAAACTGTCAGTGCCTAGGTTTTTTTTTCATTCAAAGTGAAAAGTTTGTGAATTGGACGTTTCTGCGAAGAGCTAGAGCTTCCGAAAAGAAGCTCGAAAAAACCTGATTTTGCTGTTACATGCTATTGAACCAAAACCATAACTCGTAAAACTTTTGAATTGCAGTTTTTTTTCGCTTAGAAGGGGTCGGAAAAAAGGTCTAAGTATAAAAGTTCCGGACTTTTTTTTGCAACTTTCAATTCTTGGCAAGCTAATTAACGAATGATCGATTCTTGATCTTCTCTTACAAGGTTTATCTCTATAATTTCTGTTTTTCAAAAAAGGGCATAGTGCCATTGCAAGGAACATGAGTTAAGCAAATCCGTTGAGATAGCGTGAATTTACGAATTTGAAATGAAGAAGGAACTTTTGATAATGATAATAAAAAAACATGTTAAAGGTACAATATGACTTTCTTCAGGCCCATGGCACCATATCCATCTCAAACTTGACCATAAACACCAACGAAGTTATTATTGGAAAACATCGCATGACTGTTGAGTGTAATGCAAGAAACGATGAGGGCACCGCTTCAAAGCAACACACAATCAAAATTCTTGGTGAGTGATTAATACCAGTAAATAAAGATAATCTGGAGTCATTTGTAACTTAGTATGTGAGATTGCACAGTAAGCCTTATAAGCGACGGCATCCATACCAGTAACTTCCCAGTGAAACATTTTCTAGCCTAACAAAATATAGAAATGTGTTATACTAATTAACATATAACCAACTAAAACAAAAGAACAAGGAAATAAGGAGAAATCACGGGGAATGAGGAGGTTCTAGTTTTGCAGCTCGTCAGTTAGCGTGTGTAGTGTGCAAAACGTATATTAAGTTACAAATGACTCGACGATAGCTGGACACATATTTCTTGTAACCGAAGAAGATCTCCCTACTTATTTCATACAGCTCCCCAGATTGAGCTGAAGTTTTCCATGCATGAGGGATAAAAATTTTTTTGCGCTTACAAGAAATTGAATTTTGTTTTACACTGGAATTACTTCCCTGATTACAAGTATTTGGATGGCTGCCTTGAAAAACGGTTTTTGAAGTTCCAAAGAAGTTTAAAGTTAAATTAGGCATTACATGTAATGAGGTAGTGAGAAGCATTCCACTAATGCTAGCAACATCTAGATCTTCCATGAATCCCGATTGTTATTTTTTGGGAGTCTCAAAATTCTCCAACATATACTAAAAAATGTAACAAAATATTTTCTTGTTTTTCTACTACTGTAATGGTCAGTAATTTAAGCATTTTTTATAACTCCTAATTTTTCGCCACCTGATTTTTTCGTTTTAGCTCCTCCTATGCCACCTCGAATAACAGGATTGGAAGAGGGTATCCATCTAGAAGGGAGTATTCTAAATGTGACTTGCGAAGCCCATGGAGGCAACCCACTCGCTGATATCTCCTGGTATAGAGGCTACGATAAAGTAAGTTTATCCTCTCTCTCTCAAGTATCTTATTTCGAGTATTTTTTGCTGTTTGAGCGTGTGATGAAAGGAAAGCGAAAACCGAGATGGTCAAAGGTAAGAAAAGTATATAGCTAGTGAATCTTGTGCTTATGTGAACTGTCAAAGAAACATTGTGAAGTACTGGTGAAGCCGTTGTGAAAACGAGAGCACATCGTATACACTAGCACAAATTAGTAATGAGCCTAGATAGCAAAAAATGGCCACAAAAAATCTTATTCAGCTGAACAATTGCTTCTATAATTTCCAGCTGCCTGGTGCTCGTTCCTCCGTTTCTGGGGACTCAGCAATATCTTTCCTCTCACTTACTCTCGAACGCTCCATGAATGGTCAACGGCTCAAATGTGAAGCGATGAACTCAGCAATGGATGAGCCTCTGATTGATTCGAAGCAATTAAATGTGTTGTGTAAGTCAAAATCTCAAAGTTAATAATGATGAAATATTTTCAAAAAATTTGCTGAAGCTAGTGTCATTAACGTGCATGGTAAATTATAAAAATGTAAGATTTTTACACTAACAAGAGAATTAGGGATTGTTCAGGCGAATGTAAATAATTTAAAAAAGAGGAAAATGTAGCAGCTGAAGGAAGGTTTTTTATTCAGTGAACCACTTGATTCATTCTTGAGCAATCATCCCAGTCTATTTTAGGAAAATTTATTTTAAGTTTGGGTTTTCGATTGTGGTCGAAAAAACTCAAACTAGAGTTTTAGGTGAAATCTCAAGTGGCAGAGTATTTACAGCTTGCAGCAGTTAGAAATGAGATTTTTGACATTCTGAGGCTAAGGTCATATCAATGAAATCTATATTTCTTTCTTTGCTATATAGAGATTCCAGAATCTTTTGCTTTGCAACACTTATACTTTGGTTCTTGCTATAAATAACTATTCATGCTGTCTTGTTCTCTATCTTCATAGATTCGTTTCTAAGCAAGTCTAACCTATACTTTGATTTTTTAGTTCAACCAAGAAGAGTTGTTATTCGAACGCCTGAAGGAATGCGACATCAACTACTCGCTGGAGAAGAAGCTAAGCTTCATTGTCTTTCTTCTGGATCAAATCCACCAGCTCATATCACTTGGAACCTTTACCCGAACGGGGATCTTACACCACTTGTTTTCACTGGAGAAGTTATTTTGAACGAAACGTGAGTTTAGACATAACTTTTCTTCAAAATTTTTGGGTTTGGCGAGGAATTTTGTGCTTGTTCTGTTCAATTATACGAACTTCTTTCTAGTTCCCGTGATTCTGGCTATACTGTGGAAAATGCCATTACTTTCACACCAACCGAAGAGTACGATGGGACGTTGATACGATGCATAGCGAGCAATCCCTTGTGGCCAGTGTCAAAGAATGTCACATATCCTCTAAACGTGCTTTGTAAGTCGATACTTGAGGTAGCGACCCCCCAAGGAGGGATTTTATTTCAGCTTTATGAATCTTTCTTCGTAATTGTGCTAGTGTAATTGTAAACTTTACAGATGCCCCACGGTTGTTGGTGAACAGTCCGATAACCGTTGTAGTAGCTGAAGGAGATTCGTTTCGGGAGAATTTGACAGTCAAAGGGAACCCACCAGTGTCAGCATGGAGATGGAGAAAGAATGGTGTTCCATTCGATCATACAATTGGAAATGTTTTCGCTCGAGGTGCTACGCTTTCTGGAAGGAACGTGAAGGTAAAATGGTCTGATATGAAAAAGGGAAGAAAAAGGGAGGATGTGAAGAAAGTAAAGGCTAGTGAGTGACGAAAGCGCAGAAGCAGTATTACTTGAGCGGGCGCGAACGCAGCGCGCGCGTATCCTCACCGTTGTAAACTCTGCGCCTCGCGCGCTCTGTAGTTAAAAAAGCCGATTTCATGCTCAAATATATTGCGCCTTCGTCATGGAGCAGCCTATTTGTAAAAAATCAAAAATTAATGTACTAATGAAGGAGGAATTTTAAAGAGATTAAGATTTGTTAATTTTGACGCGAGACTATCCCAAGATTAGAACTGGAATGGACCTTTATTGATTGGGACGTTCCCTTCCTTGATGGAAGTCTTTGCCGCCAAGTTCAAATCATAATTTCCAGAGCACTGATGCGGGAATGTACACGTTATTTGCTGTCAACAGTGTAGGAACGGCTAATGTAACGATTCAACTAACTGTTGAGTATAGTGCCAGGGTAAGGAACCATTAAGCTTTATGAGAAAACATTTATTAGAAGAGGTTTTTCTTCAGATTACCAGCATCTCTTCGCCAATTATAGCATCTGAAGGTGAAACGGTAGTTATGGAATGTGAAGCTGATGGTGAGCCAAGAAGGCCGAATATGGTTAAATGGTTGAGAAATGGGCATGAGGTGGGTGTCAGCTTGAGTTAAGTAAATTTGAGTGAAGCTGAAATAAACCTGGGTAAAGCTACTAAGGAGTAGAAGTTTAACAAGTTTTTTTTTCATCACCATGGTTGTTCGCGCTGTTTTTCTGGGTTGCAAAGCTTGAAAATCGTAAGGACATGACTTTTTAATTCCATCATCACATCTTAATTCGTAATTTTCGTAACTCATTATTGTTTTATTGCTAAAATTTCTGACCACGAAGCATTTGAATTTTGGTATTTAAAATTTAGTTGTTTCTTGAGTGCCAAATGAGAATCATTCATTGTACCGATTTTTTGAATAAACAGTAAGGGTTTTCAAATTCTTCAGAACCTCCAACATAGATTGAGAATGCCAATATGTTTCCAAAATTAAGAATTTTTTTCTCTTCTATCAAATGTTGTTCAAGCAGCTATTATAATTCGACTATGTGAAATTTGATCTACGAGTTTTTGTGGCAGCTGCTGACAAAGCATGTTTCAGGTCCCGGCAGTGAAAAGAAGCGACACGCATGTTACTTTACGACTAAATGCTTCTAAAGAAGCTGCTGGCCAATATGTCTGTCAAGCAGACAACGGTATCGGTTTTCCTGGAGAAGGCACTGCTTACCTTTTGGTTAATACCGCTCCGAAGATACTGACGTTACCATATCTCTCTAGAGCTGCTGGACCACTCGGTATGCAATGACTCTAATTTTGCCAAAAAAATAAAAAATTATTTAAGGAGGACGAGCTCGGGTTAGGTGTAGAGCACATGCTGTGCCAGACGCCGATTTTGTTTGGGACCGAGCTGGAGAGATCATACAAGGGAATAACACTAAATATGGAATGTCAACTATACAGCTGGATTATTCCACGTTTGAGGTTGGTTCACCCACAATTGTCCTCGGAAGGGGAGCGACTACCTCATAGGCAGCCCAATAATAACGCGAGTTGGTTATTGGTCAGTAGGTTTCCCGCCACGAATAGTGTAGTCGTCTCCCCCTCCCCCCCCCCACCAATTTTTGGTGCTTTCTAAAGATATATATAAATATATATATTCTGTTCAGAGCAACCTATGGATCAGCAATATTTCACCCGATGATTATGCCAGAGAAATCAGTTGCACAGCAAGAAATAGCTTTGGCACGGATAGTATACATATTCCAGTAAGCCTTTTCATACAGTATATCCTCCTATAATGGTCAAAATGTTCCTAAATTCTTTCAGATCGGACCTCCCTCTCCTCCGGATGCACCGCTTGACATCCATGTGACGAACACAACATCAAATACCATTTCTATCTCTTGGACACCAGGATTTGATGGAGGATTCGAGCAAACATTTGAAGTTAGATATCAAAAAGATGGCGAAGATACCATGCATGGGATCAACACTTCTCACTCGGTTGGTGTAATTTTGACTGTTTTGAACAAACAATCTCAGATCGACTTACAAAGTAGGAAGCTTCGTACAGATTCAAAAAGTTCAGATTGATCTGTACTAGTGAGCTAAGACTATTGTTAAGTCACTAAGGTTTCTTCTTATTTTAGTCTAAAGCGTTGAAGTTTGGTACCTAACCTTGCCTGAATTTATGCTATCTTGGTCTAAAAAAAATTACAATTCCGCTTCTCAATGTCAAAATAGTTTCACTTGCAACGCTGTATCCTCCAACGCCAAAATCGGAGATTCTGAAATTAAAAGTGTTTGGCCAAAGCCAAAATGGTTGGTTCGTAAAGGAATTTTTTGCAGTGCAAAACTATTTAGTTGTATCTTTTTCATACCTTATAAGGTAGTTAGTGTCACCATAAAACTTGGACTTTGTTTGGAATATTCAGTCCAAGTTTTTCGAAAGAATTTACGTTAATTTAGTTGAAAAATTTCTAATGCTGTCGTTTGTAAGAGGAGTCAATGTATGAAAAGTATGACTTTTAATTTCAGAATCTCCGATTATCTGGCTTGGCTCCTTCTTCTGTTTATTTATTCCAATTACGTTCGATCAACACCAGAGGATTTTCGTCCGAGTTAACCCGACCTCCAGCTGCTTTTGCCACTCTAAGCGAGGATGGCTCGACTGTAGCTGTTATTGCTGGAAAGGTAAGATTTTACAACTATGAGGTTTTATGAATTATGAAAATCCAAATTTCAGAAAGAGTCAATACCTCGACCGATAATTATGCTCCTCGCCATTGGTGGTACACTTTTACTGCTGTTTAACTGCCTTCTTCTTTGTTATCTTCAACGACGAAACAAGAAAAAGAAGATCCAGGGTTTGAAAGAAGTAACAAAGAGGTTGCATTTGTTAATATTTTGTTTTTAGAAAAAACCGAAATGGTGCGAACGGCGATAAATGGGGAAGGAGTAAGGCCGGTGCAGATGTATGGAACAATGCTGCAGGTGCATAAGTATATCTAATTTTTTATTTTTCAAAATCATGGTTTTTTGATTATTATTTGATATTTCAACTTCATGTCGTCAAATATTTGAACCAGTATGTGATTTTTACAAGCTGTAGTAATAAACCCTAATCCCGATTGAAATCGCTACCGTGGCGAGTGGGAACGCTGCAGTCGAGCAGCTGTCGTCGTTGGAGCGCGTGATGCACGCAGTAGCCTTAACGGCCACTGCTTACGCGTACTCTTACCATACCGTTCATGGGCATCCAATTTCGTGCAAAAGTAGCTTTTACCTGTCAAGTTGTTGACAGCTTTTTGAAACGAGTAAATTCGATCAGTACTAAGCCTAATTTTGAATCAAAATTTTATCTTAATTTTGTGAAGCCAATGACTTTTCTTCTTTTCTTAGGCGGAAGGAGCCGTGCATTGCGAGCGAGAAGAACATGACATACCGGAGGCAAGTGAAGATGACCACAGTGTACGCACAATGATCGTATGTTCCATATCTCCTGAAAGGAGATTATTTTATCGAAGTAAAGTATTCACTTAGTTTCAGGAAGTGAATCCAAACGGCTACATGCAGCAGATCGATCCATCACTTTACGAACGAAATTGCTTGATGGAGTACGAGTTCGATCGTGAGTTATTCCTCAAATTTTATAAGCGTGCACTGACAATGTTATAATAGATCGCAAACTAATTCATAAATTTTCTTTGCGTCATGACGTGAGGTAGGTAAGAAATTACATGGTAGCTTGGGACTATTATATTTTTCTTGGAAAATCACAAGCAGTGGCGGGACTACGAGACTTCGATGCGAGGTCTTCAAATGAGTTCATTTCAGTCCATTTTTTATAAGGGCTGTTGGTCATTTTTATCCTTATCTAAGAGCATGGCAGGGAATTCTGAGATGGAGTTGTTGAGAAGTGTATAGTTCCAAAAAATTCCAAATTTTTTAGAAATTTGTTGTCACTTTTTCCTTGTGTATCCATCAAATTAAATTTGATTAAAATAGTCTATCTTACGCAAATAAATGGATTTTGATTTTTCTGACACCTTTACATTTTATTCATATTTTGACTAGGGAGAAAAAACAACTTTAATCATTTCTGTATGATTAAACAATGCATATTAAAAGAAGTCATTAGAAACTTCCTCGAATTTTTTGTTCTTCCACTTCTTGTATTTGAGAAGGGTAGAGGCATACATCTGCCGCTAAAAGAAGAGGAAAAGTACGGCCTATGCATGCATTTGCGGTGTAATCATGCTTGTCTTTATACTTCTATACGAAGCAATTTTGAAATTTTCCCAAATTCGTAAATTTTTTTGAGAATCAAAAAGAAAATTTGAACAGAAATCGTCCACCAATCCAATAGTTTGAAGGCAGCGGCTCGACAGGATGACCTTCAAGATATTCATCGTTCTCACCTATTTTGGATGAGCTAAGTCCAAGACTGCATTGCAGCTTCAAAAGATATCAGTAATCCGCTTTTCCAGACGTGAAAAGTGCTGTTTGGGCGGACGGCGTAAGCCTGCCCTCTAGAGAGCGATTGACTCGTGAGTGGAGACACCGTACTTACCGTACCCACGAACTATTCGTGCTCGAGGGCAGGCATACGCCGTCCGCCCAAATAGCACTTCTCACTTCTGAAAAAGCGGGTTATTGATATCCTTTGAAGCTGCAAAGCACAGTCTTGGACTTAGCTCATCCAAGGGAACCGAGAACGATGAATATCCTAAAGCTGTCATTCTGCTGAGCCGTTCCCAACGTACAAAACCCTGATAGCGATTTTAGAGGAGAATCTATTAGCGAACGAGATTAAACACTATTTTTTCAGCCCGGGACTACCCGAGCAGCAGGCACGGGACAATGGGCAGAAGTGGAACAGGCACGTACACTAATATGCCCTATCCAGTATGTTTGAAACCAACGAATATGGTTATCTGGAACCTTACCCATGCGTTTCGATTTCAGGAACCTCCCCACGACACCTCAATGTACCCAGACCAGTCGCTTACCCGGCGGCATTTTCAAAATAATAATAACAATAACAACAGCCCACAACATCTTCTGTCAACGTTCATTCAACCGAGCGGCGTTCGTGCAGGTCCATTATCGTACTCTCAACTGGACGGCGATTTGGTCTAGAAGCTTAGGAATTCTCTAGTGCTGGCTTACTTGCACATTCATTTTATCTGTGATATCACTCCTTTAACTTCCATACTTGGAATCCTATAGTCAACGTCAGAGTTACGCTTATACGGGTTGTAGTGTTGGAGTTAGCGCTGCTGTATCTCCGCTTAACTTTCCATGCTATAGAAATTATGCTCTAGTCAACAACTGAATTCTTCTATTTTATGTTTTATTGCCCTGGAATTTTGCAGAAGATTTAATCTGCCATATGCTCTTCCACATGGCTCTCTATTGCACTGGTATCGAATTCGTGTCATTTTGTTCTACAGCTGCCCATATTTTTTGCAAGAAATTTCTTGACAAGATTTGCATTTCATTTTAGGTGCTCCGATTTGCAGTATTGCTATTTGCTCAAACAGTTTATGCGATTTGATGTCCAATAAATATTTGTGTTTTTGTTTGCCCATAATTTGGATAGTAAAAAATGGCACAGTAAAACCAAAATTTCTTTGTCCTCTATTGCAGTACTCTCCACTAGTGGTAGATAAAATTATTCTTATTTTGTCTGAAAAGTATTCTTTGTATCTCCGTTATAAAATTCTTCAAATCGCACTTGAGCATATCACTGTAAAACAGACTTTTCTTTTTCAAACTTTTTCAGCAGAATTTATGTGATTTGCGTATTTCTCCAAAGGAGGCAGTTCGAACGACCAAAGATACTTTAAAAGCAGTGTCCCGGCAGATTTTGCACTTCCACCTTTCTGCATGTTTTAGGCCTTTTCGCCACGTAGAACCCGAATCTAAGCTTTGAACGGGCTGAAAAAGCCGATTTTGGGGGGTTTGCCCAGTTCCAAAAAAGCAGCTCTGACGAGGTTTTTTATGGAAATTTGGAGAGTCCTAACACGAAGACCCTGCCTGTAATTTTTGCTTTGGATAGCATGCGCAGGGGGTAGAGCAGTCGTGAGGTCCCTCGCCGAACAGATAAGGCAGCCTCCGAGCGCGCGCCGCTTCAAGGGCCATTTTCTCAGGTCGGGAAACATCAACCAGCCGGACTGCGCGTGGAGGTCAGTGGGGTGACCAGGAACCCCACCACACCTATATCGCCCAGAGCGCGAATCTGCCGGGATACCCTTTGAGTACAAGTAGTAGAGGACCTAAGCGATTACAAATGAAGTGTTCATGACCTTACACACTAAAGTCATTAGTAATTCTAGTATCAGTTCAAGCGTCAGTAAATCTGGTCAGTACACGTGCTTATAGGCTGCTGCATGACGAAGGCGCAATATCTTCGGGCGCGAACGCGGCTTTATTAGCCGCAGAGCGCATGAGGTGCGGGATCTACAACGGTGAGGATACGCGCGCGTCGCGTTCGCGCCCTCTCAACTGATATCGCCATTGCGCCTTCGTCATGGAGCAGCCTTTAGCTCAGAAGGGAACAGCTGTTATATGGATAAATTTTCGTTTCTCTCTCCCACATTCATAATTTTGAGGTGAAAAACAGTAGCTTCATTGCAAACTTTTTGGGAACATCTAGTTAACTCGGGATTTGAACCCGTTCTCCTTGCTCTAAATAACCTAGTTTGCTTTTTTTTCACGGGCATTTTCATCACGTGTTTCTCAAAATCATCCGTCTTTGGGAATCAAATTGCATTCAAATTCGCACATTGAGAGAATTTCCGTGGAGGGATAAGGAAAGAAGAAAATTGACTCAGAGATTTAGCAGGCGTAGATCACCAATCAATGAATGCCAAGCCAACACTATGCCATCATTACGCATTAATGACTTTTCTTTTCTATGACACGGTTGATTTTCGCTTTACACCTTATGTAGCGATAACTTTATAGATTTTTTTAAAGTCATTATTTGCCTCCTTGCTTATGAAGCGAATTACCATAATGCCTAAAGGGCCGAGCATAGTTCTCGCGATTACGCGATTTGGCAGTTCACCAGAGGTCTTCAGAACACTAGCAAAACATGCGTGTATAACTTACGTGGATTGATAAAATGCCCTATCTTCTGTACATTTAACACACGGACGACCATGCAGGTATTTAGTTGTCTGCCGTCTGGGACCAAGGCCTTTTACGGACCAGCCCACAATTCCCAACTATAGTTACGCATAATGCCATCTGCAGTACACCTACAGTAGATCTGAAAGGCTGACAAAAACGTAGAGATCATCCCTAGATTCAGTGCAAAAGAGAGCTCATAGAACGAGTTTATCCCAAGATAGTAGTCATCTTGACAGAATTCAAACCTTGACACACATGGTGTGTCAAGCGGTCCCATGCGGCAGTCACTGCTTGACACACCATGTGTGTCAAGCTGTCGTCAATGTGTTAAAATGCGCTTACAATGAGTTATGGACAAAATATTGCCAAATCGCGTCGAGACTGAAATCGCGAAGTATGCCCTGTCCTTAAAATCAAATTAACGGCCTTTTTCGTGCTCGAGTGCATTCACTGCTACAATTCCAAGTATTTTTGAAAGAGAAAAAAATATGAGTTTTAGGGTCTTCTGATACCCTAACAGCGCTTCTCGGCTGAGCTCTTCTGTCGACTAGAAACGTAGTAAGTATTTTCTGGAAATGCATGATGCAAATTTCTAGCTCATTTTTTGACAATATTTTGCCGATTGTATCGTGATGTAAACGATTTTGCATATCCTCGCGCTCCAAAATAATGCACTTACAGTGACCGCCAAAAAGTTGCGGACAAGCCTCCCTCCCTTCTTCATGGCCCTTTTTAGGGTGAAAACAAGGATGAAAAAGTGTAATAATTGCATGGGGTGATAGAGCTCTTCAAGATCTACTATCTACACTTTAGTTTTTTGAGAAACATGTGTTCTAAAAATTTTAAGAATCTTTTTCTAAAAAAAGTCCGAAAATGGCCGCGTCAGAATGTCGCGAACAATAATTCTTCGAACGCAAAAATTGTCTTTTGAGTCCTATTTTAAAGCGGAAATACAAGTTATCTAGACGGGTAAGCATACTAATATACAGAGCTCGTCAAGAACTACACACTGGTTATGGTTGCTTCCCCAGAAAAAGCAGGTTTGAGTTTTATTTTAGTTTTTCAAAAAACAACTTCTAATTTCCTTTCTTTAAGCCAAATTTCTTCGCATGAGAACCTATTCAAGACATTCCAACAAAGCTATTCGGACAAAATGGATGCTCTTTGCCATTTTTTATGCATCGGACGTGTGCTGGTGAGATTCTTTGCTGAAAATGGCTCTTGACAGTGCGTGCACATGACCCCACCTGCACCTCACCACTAACTTGTACCGCTTTGCAGGCTTGTAACTCGGCCTGCAGTCGATATTTGAGCCTGCAATTAGGCTCATTCGAAAGCACGAGACCTCCTCTACACAATGGTATGCAGACAAATTTACTTTGAGCAATCCCAGAAAAATGGCGGATGGGGTGAAAAAGTGCAGCCTTAGAGGTGATTGGAGTGAAAGCTCTTATGAACACCAGAACAGACTTAGAGCTTCGAAATGGATCTATTGCAAGAAAATTGACAGTTTTGAACTTCCGGAATGGAACTAGTAGCGAAAGGAGCTCTCTTCAGCTTTAGCTGAAAAGTGCTTAGACTACAACTGAAGCTGCCCTCTACCACCCCATCCGCCATTTTTCTGGAATTGCTCAAAGTAAACTTATCTGCATACCATTGTATAGAGGAAGTCTCGTGCTTTCGAATGAGCCTAATTGCAGGCTCAAATATTGACTGCAGGCCGAGTTACAAGCCTGCAAAGCGGTACAAGTTAGTGGTGAGGTGCAGGTGGGGTCATGTGCACGCACTGTCAAGAGCCATTTTCAGCAAAGAATCTCACCAGCACACGTCCGATGCATAAAAAATGGAAAAGAGCATCCATTTTGTCCGAATAGCTTCGTTGGAATGTCTTGAATAGGTTCTCTTGCGAAGAAATTTGGCTTAAAGAAAGGATATTAGAAGTTGTTTTTTGAAAAACTAAAATAAAACGCAAACCTGCTTTTTCTGGGGAAGCAACCATAACCAGCCCGCTTTAAAATAGAACTCAAAAGAAAATTTTTGCGTTCGAAGAATTATTGTCCGCGACATTCTGACGCGGCCATATTCGGACTTTTTTTAGAAAAAGATTCTTAAAATTTTTAGAACACATGTTTCTCAAAAACCTCAAAGTGTAGATTGTAGATCTTGAAGAGCTCTATCACCTCATGCAATTATTACACTTTTTCATCCCTGTTTTGACCCTGAAAAAGAGCGGTGAAAAAGGGAGGGAGGCTTGCCCGCAACTTTTTGGCGGTCACTGTATCTCGTTTGATACACAACATTCTCTCCACATTTCCCATAATTACTGCATATACGAAATCACTTACTTTTACTGAGTTTTTTTCTATTTTCCGCCATTCTAGCAATGCTAAACATCACGTCTAATCTTGTCAGTCTCTTATGGCCTTAGTTTAAAGGTGAAAAAGTCTTTATCACTACTGCCTTAAAAAGATTTTGCGGTTTGTTAAAATGGGCATGCTCTTTGAATCAATGCTCATTTGCATATAATTTCTAGGTTTTTATCTTTCAAATTTTCTCAGCCTGCTGACCTCATATCATCTTTGTTTATACTAGCACAAGGATCTCATAATCCTACTGCAGTTTTTGCTCAGTCGCGAGTGATGAGTTATGTTGAAAGTATAATTTTACGTTATATACTTTGTCGGTATACATTGGCGTAACAGAAACATTTAAGTCACACCATCGTTTTTTGAATACTCTATTAAGTGCTAATAATCCCCTCAGTATAGAATTAACTCGGTAATCTTCCTCCTCAAAGCTCTGGTAACGGTTCTTTCTCACTCCGCAAAACAAACATCCCTTTTGTGATTAACATAAATTATGGCTCGAGATTCGGCAGTTAAGTATAAGTGAATGGACGACTACGTCAAAGTAAAGCAAAAAAGTATTCTCGAAAAAAAATGGGGAATTTTTTATATTGCCGAGGGCTGTACATAGTGAAGCGGAGAATACGATCAAATCTTGAGTATCACAAGCTAAACTTTCAAGAGATCGCTTGATGATCGTGGCCTTTTTATGAGGCCACAATTATCAACTGATTTGAGTGGCCTTTTTTCATGAGTTGTATCAGGTTGTCCCATTCCTTCCCTTTCTACTTTTCATCGCAATAGCTCCCATTTTTTTGGTTCTGAAAAAGCTCTGGGTGTAACCACTAATTTATAGCCTACTTCTTCGGATCGTTATCGAGAATTGTCAAATATGAGGAAAAAGCGTAAAAAACTCAAGAAAGTGACTTGGTGGGAACCAAGTGTCGTAGGCGATAGTGGTGTCGATGATAATTTATCCACAGACGAACCCGGTTTTGGACCGGGGAGAGCAACCTATTACAATTGGGGGCTCCTTATATAGGTAGTAAGGCGGAGCTGACCCGTGCACAATCGGAATGTCCAGGAAATATATGCAAGAAAGAGGATGCCGCGGCTTGGCGCGGCCCCTGGAAGATAGGTGTCACTCATTGGTGAGTGATTCGGCACTTAAATATAAGCGGTTGGGGAATATAGCCTATGGGGAAAACCCGTAAGCTATTAGGATTATAGAATTGTTGAGGTTGATGATAGATAAATCATCAACACTCCGGGCGAGCAAGGAGGAGGCGAGATCTATTGAAATGTAAATAAATAATACAATCAAAACCTCTTAAAAGCATTTGTACTTACGATTAGAAATTGAGATATAGCTGTGTTCATGAGTGGAAGCTATTAGATTGGTTGTCGAGGTTGATGATTCATAGATCATCAACACTCCGGGCGAGCAAGCAACAAGTTAATCTGGTAAGCACGAGATACAACAAATGCATAGATTTGTATAGACTTAGACATACTTATGGGAGCTACAGACAGAAGAGAATTTACGGTGAAGAGTTGTAGTGGTTGATGGTTGCTGTTCCGTAGTGTAGCTTCGTCTTTCGTCGTCGTCTCTTCTTCCTCGTCGGTCCTGCCTTCGTCGAGTTTGAGTTGACAGATCGTTATCGGTGATTGTCTTCGTGATAGCCGTGGTTTCCGTCATCAGATGGTTGTGATGTGTGATCTTGGGCATGTCCGTCATCTTTATCTTAGCATGCGTCGTCGGTTGAAGAGTTCTGGCAAGAGTTCCATTCGCACTCCTCGTGTTGGGGCTGGAACTGGAGCCTAATATGCAGCGAACTTTGGCCAGCCATCGTTGTCTGTCTGCCTTAGCTTCGCGACAGCAGTTGTCCGGGTTTTCTTCTTTTTCGATAACGACTTCGCGATCTTCTGAGATGTTACTTCAGTATGCGCTTGGAAGATTCACCTGTTGATTCCAGCTGTAGCGTTTTGATTAAAGACGGTGAACGCCTTCTTTGTCGTAAGCCATTTGAGGTGTCGCTGCGGGTGAGAAGCGAGTTTGGAGGCTTCCTGCATCATGGATGTACAACCAAAAGTGCCGACGATCTCCGTGCTCACGTTGGTACGGCTTGTACCAGATATGACATATCCAAAGATGGTCGGGGTCAATATGAGCCCGGAGGGAAGCTTGAGCACTGTTTCGGCGTAAACAGTGATGAGATTCAGAAGATCTTGTCCAATAATGAGTTCAGGCAAGACGCTTTTATGAGTGAGCGTATCTTGAGCTATCTTCAAGTTCTTATTGCAAATGAACTGAACATCTGCATCTGTGAGATGTGCTTAATGTAGGTTGGCAGTCAACTTCTCTTTCGTGTGCACTGATATCTTCTTAAGCTTCTTTGCGTTGTGAAAGCTTTTCAAAGTAATTTGTACTTCACTGGAACTGAATGTCTCTTTTAATTCTCCCATTCCTGATGTGGTGAATGACGTCGTTTGGATGACTGGCAGCTTAAGCTCATCATCAAATTTTGATTTGATGAAGCTTCGCTGGGCGCCAGAGTCAATCAGTATCGTTATGGGTTGATAATCCCAAATTGCCTCGTTGAATATCATGGCTGAAGCCGTTTGAAGTACGCTTTGGCACACGATTGGCAGTTTGGTTGAGCTGTAGACTTTTTGTCCATTTCGCCGTGCAACGGGTACTTCGCTTGTTTTGCGATGATCGAAGTTGGTTCTTTGCAGTATCTTAGAGACTTGCAAATGATGAGTGCTAGCAGGAAACTGAGACTGCTTGAGATATTCTTCCTCCTCTTTCCATTTCGGACTTTCAGTACTTGTGTCCAGATGGTTGCTTCTTTGAATGTTGCTTGGAAAAAGTGTTTCCATTGTTAATGCGGTCGTTTCCCGAAGAGAGATGATGTCATCTATCGCGTCTAGGATTTCCGAAACATCAAAGTGATCGCCAACTACGGTTTCCTTCTGTATGACGGTTGCGCAGATGGCTTCAGGAAATTTCGACAAGATTAGTCGGCGCCAGATTCTGTCTGCGCTCATCTCCATTCCGGTTTGTTCTAGGTGAATGATCCGCGAATTGATTGCTTCGAAAGTTTCTCGGCAACTTTCGGGACTGTCTTTTGCTCCTTGAAGTCGTTCGATTTCATTGATGAGTATATCTGCCATGCTGGCAGAGCGATCAAAGTGCTTCTTCAGGATGT